AATGTGGACAACTAGAGCTGTACGCAATATTCCAGTATTGGTCACACCTGTGCAATATAGAGATATACCTACTCAAACAACAAGGAGTCCACTTTTTACCGTTGAAAGCTTATGCCCAAATAAATCTGTTAGTCGTTAAGATGCCACCGGACTCCTCGTTGTTTTTGTGGATACAGACTATCACGGCTACCCCCCGATACTTGATACCTACTCAGTACTCCCCTGTTTATACAGTCAGGGAGAGCATTAGCCCTTTTTGCTACACAATCACACTGGAAACTCATCTCAAGTTACTTGTCCACTATGTGACTCCCTAAATACTTTCCAGCACAGTCCCCAAGACTGCAGGCATGGCTTGTTTTCCTTGTTCCTAAGAAGAACATAAGAATGGCCATATGGGATCAGACCAAAGATCCATCTAGCCCAGTATCCTTTCTTCTGACAGTGTTGAGTGCCAGATGCTTCAGAGGGAGTGAATAGAACAGGTCACTTTATTGAGTGACCCCCCTGTTGCCCTTTCTCAGCTTCTAGCAGTCAGGTTTATGGACACCCTGAGCATTAGGTTGCATCTTGGCTAATAGCCATTGATGGACCTGTGCTCTGTGAATTTACCTAATTCTTTTTTGAACCCTGTTAGTTTTGGCCTTCACAACATCCATTGGCAACAAGTTCCACAGATAGACTGTACAATGTGAGAAGAAGTACTTCCTTTTGTTTATTTTGTTTATTTACTGCCTATTGTATTTCTGCAATATCATCCCTGTTCTTGCCAGATTCCGTGATTAGGTCCTGTCTCATACCAGGCCTCTGATATAAGGGCTTATGTTTCAGGCTCTCTTCCTACTACACCTAATAATTTCATTGGGTGAGCCCTGGTTCATGTGTTATTTAAAGGGGTAAATGACACTTCCTTATTCATTTTCTCCACACCATTCATGATTTTATAGGCTTTTATTGTATCCCCTCAGTAGTCGCTTGTCCAAGCTGAACAGTCCCAATCTTTTACATCTCTCCTTATATGGAAGCTGTTCCATCCCCCTAATCATTTTTGTTGCCCTTCTCTGTACTTTTCCCAATTCTAATGTATCTTTTATGAGATGGGGCAACCAGAATTGCTTGCAGTATTCAAGGTGTGGGTGTACCATAGATTTATATAATGGCATTATGATATTTTCTATCTTATTATCTATCCCTTTCCTAATGGTTCCTAAAATTCTGTTAGCCTATTTGAGTGCTGCTGCACAGTGAGCAGATGTTTTCAGAGAACCGTCTATGATGACTCCAAGATCTTTCTTGAGTGGTAACAGCTAATTTAGACCCCATCATTTTATATGTATAGTTGGGATTATGTTTTCTAATGTGCATTACTTTGCATTTATCAACACTGAATTTAATCTGCCATTTTGTTGCCCAGACACCCAGTTTTGTGAGATCCCTTTGTAACTCTTCACAGTCTGCTTTGGAACTAACTATATTGAGTAATTTTGTATCAGACATACAATTTTGCATTTGGCTGTATTAAAACACATTTTGTTTGAAAGGACCTAGCTTACTACGTGATCCAGGTTGCTATGTATAACTGCCCTGACCATCTCCTCATTTACCATTCCACCTGTATGTGTTCCCTGCAGATTTTATTGGCAGTGGTTTTATATTTACCTCCAGATCATTTATGAAAATGTTGACTGTCATTGGGCCTACAGCCTCTCTAGAAACATTCCCATTTGATGCCACTACTTTTTGAGATCTGTCAGTTACTGATATTGTACAGTGTTAATTTTTTAATCAGCATGTCATGTGGAACTAAGTCTTACACAAGTTTGACATCTATGCAGATATCTTTATTGACCAAACTTGTAATCTTAAACAAACCTGATTTAATTCTTTCATTAACTACACTTGTTTTCCATAAAACCATGTTAACTGACATTAATTATGTTCCTATCCTTTAGTACTTCATCAACTGAATTTCTTATTAGCGACTTATCAATTTTTTGAATTTTGAATATTGGCATGAGCACTCATCCAATTTCCTGGAATTTCCCCTATTGTCCAAGATTTATTAAAAATTAACATCAGTGGCTGGAGAACTCATCAGCCATCTCTTTTAGGACTTTTGGGAGCAAGTCATTTGGACCTGCTGACTTTAAGAATATTTATCTCTAGTAGATGGCATCTAACATCCTTCTTCATTACTAATGGATTGGAAAGTAATTCATCATTCTCATCTGATACGAATATTCCATCCTGCTTCTTTCCAAATACAGAACATGAATACTTGTTGAACACTTGTATCTGTTACATAAGAACAGTCATACTGAGTCAGACCAAAGGTCCATCTAGCCCCAGTATCCTGTCTTCCGACTGGCCAATGCCAGGTGCAGAACAGGTAGTCATCAAATGATCCATTCCCTGTCGCTCATTCCTAGCTTCTGGCAAACAGAGGCTAGAGACACCATCCCCGCCCATCCTGGCTAATAGCCATTGATGGACCTATCCTCCATTAATTTATCCAGTTCTTTTTTGAACCGTGTTATCGCCTTGGCTGTAACAACATCCTCTGGCAAAGAGTTCCACAGGTTGACTGTTCTGCATCTTTAATAACAATTTTATGATGACTATCTAGTGTTGGTTCTATATTCTTGCTAGGATTTCTTTTGTTCCTGATATGTTTTTTAAAAAATTTCTTCCAGCATTGGATTTTTCCTTGATGGTTTTTAGCTTTCTTTATCAATTTTCTGTACTTCACACCTTCTAATTTTATATGCATTGCTATTTGTTTCCCCCTTTTCCATTTGTTATACAGTAACTCCTTGCTTAACATTGTAGTTATGTTCCTGAAAAATGCTACTTTAAGGGGAACAATGTTAAGTGAATCCAATTTCCCCATAAGAATTAATGTAAATGGGGGGTAGGTTCCAGATAATCTTTTTTGCCAGACAAAAGACCACTCTCTTTCACCCTCTGACTCCACCACCTCAACCAAGCTTCACAATCATCATTGCTGTGTATAGTATTAAACTGTTTGTTTAAAAGAGAGAGGGATATTTCTCGTGGAATGCCTTACTGCTAAACGATGAACTAGCACTTAGCTGAACCCTCAAGGGTTAACACGTTGTTAATGTAGCCTCACACTCTACAAGGCAGCAGGAATGGAGGGAGGAGACACAGCATGGCAGAGAGAGAGAGACACACACACACACACTGTGTGGGAGAAAGAGAGAGATGTGCCTTGCCCCTTTAAGTATCCTGACCCCACTCTAAGTACACTGTCTTTAAAGTAGATCAGCAAGTTGAGACAGCAGCTGCTGCCAGCAAGCTCCCTCTGTCCTGAGCCCTGTCGTGTCCCCCACATTGCTCTGTGGAGATGGGTTATAGGAGCGGGGGGAGGGAGACACCCTGACATTAGCACCCCTCTTTTCCCCTCCACCCCTCTGCACAGCAAGCAGGAGGCTCCCGGGAGCAGTTCCAAGGCAGAGGGCAAGAGCAGCACATGGCAGTGATAGGAGGGACAGCTGAACTGCCCGGCAGTTGATAGCCTGCTGGGCAACTGCTGCACAGGGAACTTAGGGGAGCTGATAGGGGGCTGCCGGCCCACCCTGGTTCCAAGCCCCCACCAGCTAGCTCCAACGGGCTGCTCTTCCTGCAAGCAGTGAACAAAGCAGGTGGCTGCCAAACAACGTTATAAGGGAGCATTGCGCAACTTCAAATGAGCATGTTCTCTAATTGATCAGCAACGTAACAACGAAACAACATTAACCGGGGTGATGTTAAATGAGGAGTTACAGCATATTGCTTCTATGGTGATTATGCCTCAGCCAGAGGTTGTCAGGCCCCAGGTGGAATTTGTTGCATTGCAGTGAAAGAACACGAACATGAGCAGATTTGCTCTTGAGGCAATAAAAGTGGAATTCCACAATACACTTTTATAAGCAATTTCAGTTAAGTCTGAAGAAAGAACCTATATTATTAAATGTTAAGAGTTAGGGCAGTGGATAGAGCAGGGGTGGACAAACTTTTTGACCCAAGGGCCACATCTGGGTATAAAAACTGTATAGTGGGCCGTGAATGCTCACAAAATTGGGGTTGGGGTGCGGGATGGGGGGGTGAGGGCTCTGTCGGGGGGTGCAGGCTCTGGAGTAAGGCCAGAAATGAGTTCAGGGTGCAGGAGGGGGCTCTGGGGTAAGGGGGAGGAAGTACTGGGGTGTGTGTGAGGCCGGGGGCGGGGGGAGGACCCTCCCCGGCCCCCCCCCCCCCAGCTCCTACGCGGAGGTGCGGCCAGGTGGCTCTGCTGCGTGCTGCCCCATCTGCAGGCACCACCCTGCAGCTCCCATTGGCCGTGGTTCCCGGCCAATGGGAGCTGTGGGGGGCGGTGCTTGGGGTGGGGGCAGCATACAGAGTGGAGCCCCCTGGCTGCCCCTATGCATAGGAGCCAGAGGGGGGACATGCCGCTGCTTCCAGGAGCCGCATGGAGCAGCCCCTGACCTTGCTACCTGGCTGGAGAGCCAGAGCGGGGTAAGCCGCAGACCCCTCTCTCCAGCAGGAGGTCAAGGGTCAGATTAAAATGGTTGGCGGGTTGGATGCGGCCCATGGGCTGTAGTTTGCCCACTCCTGGGATAGAGTCTTAGGAGTTGTCTATGTGATGGGGTAATGCACTTTATGGGGGTGTGATTTCTAAAGTGCAGTAATGTGCTATGTATCAATTGGTCCGTGTAGACTAAAGGTTCCCTAGTATACTTGAACAGAATTGTTTCAAACGGTGCTACCTTAAAGTGCACCAGTAAGATCTATATGGATAAAGTAATGCACAGCATATTAGTGAGCTGTAGAAATCACACCCCTGTACAGCACATTACTCCACCATGTAGAGAACCCTTAGTGCACTCCTGAATAGTGCTTATTTAGCATCTTTTCCGTACAATGTGTTGTGAAGCAAGAGCCTGTAAATGTGAACATACAACCTTGTTTATATTTAGCACCCCCTTTTTTTAAACTTGCAGGGGGGAACCGAAAACGTGGTATGGAGCCCCGGGGTATGCGGCTGAGCAGCTGGAAGATGTAATGAAGAAGCTGGCTCCCGAGTTATTTGTGTCTCAACCTGATCTTTTGCATCAGCTTGTCACCATTATGAACCCAAATACGCTGATGGCCCACGGAGTGCCCGTATGTCATTGGAGTTCTGTGCTCATTATCTTTTATCTCCTCTTCTTTTATGTTGTCTTCTTCTGTAAGGTTGACAATTTAAATCAATTGTTAACACAACTTTGCAGTAGCTTATGCATGTATTGCACACTATAGAAATAATGTATTGGACGAATTACATTTGTTTGAGCTGGTATAATGGACTGGTTTGAAAGATGGGCCATCTGTCATTGCTTTTTAGACTCACTTAAGATGGTTCTTTCACATGCTCTTCTCAGAGAGATCTGTCTCAATGGATTTCCATTCCTGGGTCCATGTTCCACATAAGGTGGTTTGAGTTTTTGAGGCACTTGTGGAGGCTTGTCGGGTGCCCTTTAGTTGGACACTAGAACTCTTGGCTGCCCCCTGTTTGTTCCAAGCTTATTTCGTTTCTGATGGTGTTTGGAACACAACTTCCCAGCAGAGGGAGGGGAACCATGACTTCTTTGTAGATCTTCCCTGATGTGCTGAATAGTTTGGCAGTGCCTCATCTACATCCTTCCTCTCTCATATTTCCTGTCATTCTGGGTCATTATTTACCTATTAAAGAAAATGCATCACTCACCATCCTTCCTCTCAGACTTTGAAAGGATGTACTTCCCATGTACTTAACTGGCTTTTGAAAGGAGCTGACTTTGGAACCCAGTGGAAACATAGAGGGAGTGAGGCAGTTTAAGGTACCTAAAGTGTGATTTCAGAGACATAGACGTTTTAAGTTGTGGGAATTCTTGCTTGGTCTCATGGTGTTTCAGAAAACAAGAAATTACAGGTAACTTCCAACGTCCTCCCCTCCACCACCTGCACATTTTAAAAAATCTCCATCTCAGTATATACTTCAGCAGCTCACTAATCTTAAACTTAATTCCTCTTTATGAAGAGTCGAATGACTTTCATATATCACTTGTGAAATGAGACATACGGCTCTCATTTTAAATACTTCCCTGACCAATACATGCATCTCAGAATTGCAATGATAGCTGAAGTCAAATTCAGAGACCACAAAAATGTGTGGAATATGCAGGTTTATCTTGTCCTGAATTAAGATGATCAATGAGGTCACATTAATTGATAGCTGTAGATTTACTGTTTAAAGGCTATATTGTGACTTAGCCATGTTTAGGGCTGCATCAGCTGGAGGGGCTTGTTAATGGAAGTAAGGCCTCCCCTCATTCTCCTGTGTGGCCATATCAAACCCACTTACATCTGAGTCCAGGGTTGGGGAGAGCAGTAGGGACTTGAGCTGGTGTAATGTACTGGTTTGAAAGGATGGGCAATGCAGTCATTGCTTTTTATCTAGTTGGTTGGATGGGGTTGGGAATTAGGCAGACCCCATGGCTGTTCTCCCTTCCCCTTGTGTTTAGCCAGCTCTGGTGGGTGGCCTGTGGGGTGAGAGTTTGCTGTAATGAGTCAGTGCAGCATACTCCCCTCCCTGCTGTGCAAATTCAGTCTCGCTTCCTTTCCATTGCTCTTCCTGTAGCAGCACATCTTCACACTGCCCCTTACTCAGAGCTGAAAGGAAACTCAATCTTGTCCTAAATGACCCTTGGGTTTGCCACCTTTTAAAGAAAAATGTATATTCAAAACCAAACAAAAAAATCCATCAGCCACCAAGCACTAGACTATTTGTTTATTTTTTTAAGGCCAAATTTGCTGTTTCTTGTTTGAAAAAAATATGAGCTCTTACATTTTAGAGAAATATCTGCCACTTTTACAGTACATATACTGGCTGAGTGGTAGTTCCATCTGCCAGTAAGGCTGAGTAACACTCTGTGCTGGGAGTTGTCACCATTTGTTTTGTCAGCATTTTTCAACCTAATTGTTGGCACTAGGAGTTTACCTGCAGTGTCGTGGAGTGCAGGGTTAGTCCCTGTGCTTTCTGAATAAAAATTGTAACTCTTTGGCTGAGGTTTTTGAAGTGCTTTAAGCTAAATAAATGGGCATTGGGCATCCACATGCTCTTGGTGGCTTTGAAAATCTAGCCTGTACCTCTGTGTAATTCTCACCCATTGTTAGAAATCAACTTGGTTTGCCTCTTGTTTTTATTAGGTTTACCGAACCAACCAGTGTGCTGGAGAATTTGTGATTACATTTCCAAGAGCCTATCACAGTGGCTTTAACCAGGGTTTCAATTTTGCTGAAGCTGTCAATTTCTGCACAGTTGATTGGGTATGTTTTAAGGACATGGTATGAATTTTCAGTAAAAGTATATGATTACTAAGTAGTGTGGTGGTAATTTTATTGTGCATGCACAGTCTCTCTTGAATCAGCTGAGTGGAAGGCATAAAGAAGAATTTTCCTAGTGCACAATGACCAAAGAAAACGCAGCGTGGATAGTGGTGCTTTGCTAATTTTCACTTTGTGCAATACTTCTAATGAAAACGCTTTAGCTTTACCTAGCTTAGTGATTTCAGAATTCTAAATCAGCTTTAAAATGAGTTCAGTGTACTGACTGAATACTTTCCCCTCACCCAACTCCCCTAAAAGAATCAAACATCAATTATTAATGTGGGTTGTGATTCTTAGTTACACTAAGGCCATTTCTGCCATGGAAACAGCCCCTTGAGAATACCCATTAGGCAAGGGGCCTGCCCAAACACTCATGTCATGAGAATACAGGGAGCACAAAGGTTGCTTAAAGCTACCTTTTTTGCACCCCCACCCCGATTCTTAACCTAATTACAGGAAAATTATTATTCAGAATCAAGCATAGGGACTCTTCCAACTTTGCTTCAAACACCTTTTAAAAGATTCTTACGGCATATCTTGGAACAAGAACAGACAAAAATTGTGGGCCAGCAGCTCCAAGTTTGTCTTATGCATTTTTTGACAGTAAATGATATTTACTTAGATTGTAAACTGCTTGAAGTTGGGACTGTCTTTGTTTGTACAGCACCTAGCAAAATAGGGTCCTGTTCCATGACTGGGGCTCATAGGCCCTATGATCAGACAAATAATAATATTTATTCAATGTGACTGTCTTCAGGTTACATCAGTGTGGAATGGAACTCTTTTGGACTATTACCCCCAGTTCACTGATTTTTGAATGGACCCTTTAAGCAGTACTGTTAAATCCAAATTTTAACTCTTTAACAGTATTTAATCATAGAATATCAGGGTTGGAAGGGACCTCAGGAAGTCATCTAGTCCACCCCCCTGCTCAAAGCAGGACCAATCTCCAGACAGATTTTTGCCCCAGATCCCTGAATGGCCCTCTCAAGGATTGAACTCACACCCCTGGGTTTAGCTCAAACCACTGAACTATCCCTCCCCCCTTTTTATGATACTTTCTGTTGTTAGGTAAAGATTGGAACTGTCCTCTGTTATTTAAATAAGAGCAAAATCAGAATAGGTTATGAAACATGGTTTGCTTTGGCATTTTCAAGTTTTTATCTTGACCACATATTACAGCTCTAACCATCTGTAGAGATCCACTTGTTCCATCTCACCAGGAAATTCTGTGCACTAGCATGAGGTTTTCACATTGCTTTCACTTGGAAAAAAGTAACCAGGAAAACTAAAACTGCATTTCTTGCATGCGCACGTCAGCTGTTAAGTATTGTAAGATTTATGCAATTGCATCTCAGAGAATCAGGCAGAACTGTTCCAAGAGGCCATTGCCTGGAATGTACATCAGTGTTAATTTACTGGAAGTCTTAGTGGTCTAATCCTAAATGATAAAACAGAAGATCCCTGTTCAGAGCAGCAGCAGATAATAGGCTACTGTACAAACCAAAGATTATGGCTGTTAAAGCTATTTTCTGTCCTCCTTATTGCTTCTAATCAAAATACACTGAGCAGGGTTCCTCCAAGATAGACCAAATGCAGCCACCTTATAATATCTATAACATGATAACAAATAACATCTCCAGTGATTAAAATATTGTTTGGTCTCATAACTGTCCTTTCAAATACAATTGTTTCTGATGAGTCTCAGTTTGGATTTTCCCAACGCAAATTTTGTCATTCTATGAAACAATTTTCAGTCATTTACATGTGGGTGATTTGGAAATGCTGCTGCTCTGATTTCAAAATGCTGTTTATAAATAGTACAAGGGAGGCTGGAATAATGTATAGACACTTTAGGCCTGTATCCAGAGCTCCAGCTCCTGGAGTCATGTGAATACATCAGAATGTAAATGTTTAAAAAACAAACAAACCTGTAGCCCTGATGGTTGCAAAGATAAGCTAGAAAATGTGACATGAGTGTAATCACTGCAGTGATGTCAGCCTGAATCTGCAGACAGACTAAAAAAACAATGGAACAGGTGAACTGTCCCATTCCTGTTCATAGCGTGTTAACTCCAAGACTCATTGCTCTGGGGATTGTTGTAGTGTGCTTAGGGCCCTGGATTTTCTTAATCTGGCCCTGAGTGCAACAAGTTTCCAAGTCATGGAATCATAGAAGATTAGGGTTGGAAGAGACCTCAGGAGGTCATCTAGTCCAACCCCCTGCTCAAAGCAAGACCAACCCCAACTTATTCATCCCAGCCAGGCCTTTGTCAAGATGGGCCTTAAAAACCTCTAAGGAGGGAGATTCCTCCACCTCCCTAGGTAACCCATTCCAGTGCTTCACCACCCTTCTACTGAAATAGTTTTTCCTAATATCCAACCTAGACCTCCCCCACTGCAACTTGAGACCATTGCTCCTTGTTCTGTCATCTGCCACCACTGAGAACAGCCAAGCTCCATCCTCTTTGGAACCCCCCCTTGCACGTAGTTGAAGGCTGCTATCAACTCCCCCCCTCACTCTTTTCTTCTGCAGACTAAATAAGCCCATTTCCCTCAGCCTCTCCTCATAAGTCATTTTCGTTGCCTTCTGCTGGACTCTTTTCCAATTTGTCCACATCCTATCTGTAGTGGGGGGCCCAAAACTGGATGCAGTACTCCAGATGTGGCCTCACCAGTGCCAAATAGAGGGGAATAATCTCTTCCCTTGATCTGCTGGCAATGCTCCTACTAAGTCCAAACACAGTAGTCAGTATCCTGAGTTATAGGAACTTGCTCATGGTCTTGTTTACTCTTTAACAAGTGGTGTACTTTTGATTAAAATTAATATATATTGTTCCTAGAATGCGCTCCTATTGGCTTTCATTTGGTTGGATAGATAGTACTTAGTTAATAGCACAGACAGTCTGTGCCTTCACACTAATATGCCTCTAAAGGTTTCATAAATAACATTTAAAAAAAAATCTTTCTGATACTCCTCCCTCTCCACCCTGCCCCCGATACAGCTGCCATTGGGTCGTCAGTGTGTGGAACATTATCGCTTGTTAAACCGCTACTGTGTTTTTTCTCATGATGAGATGATATGTAAAATGGCTTCCAAAGCAGACGTCCTTGATGTTGTGGTAGCTTCTACTGTTCAGAAAGACATGGCTATTATGATTGAAGATGAAAAGGCTTTACGAGAAACTGTGCTTAAACTGGTAAGCTTTAGGAAATGAAATTATGCTTACTGAACTAACTTTAAAGTCATGATGTGAAGTTCACCCATGGTGTCCTGCATTAATGTGACCCTAACCCTTTGATTTCAATGGGACTAGTTGAGGAAAGAACTACTTGACATTAGTGGGGTATTAGAATCGGGCCCTTAGTAGTTTTTTTTTTTTTTTAATGCCTTTTTAAAATAATAGGTTTTATAGTTTCTTCAGTAACTTAGTTGAAGAAGTTGAGTCCTCATTAACTAAAATGTGATTATTTTCATATATCCAATATCTTAATCCTAAACTTTCGTGATAAATCATGTCTTTGATCAACTTAACTTTTGATCGTCTAGTCTGAACTAGTCTGCTCTGTTTGTTATACTGTGAAGTCACTTTAGTGTATTCTGTTGTAGGGAGTGACTGATTCCGAGAGGATGGCTTTTGAAATGTTGCCAGATGATGAGCGCCAGTGCATAAAGTGTAAAACCACTTGCTTCATGTCTGCTGTCTATTGCTCATGTAAACCTGGTTTACTAGTATGCCTGTATCACGTAGAAGATCTCTGCTCCTGTCCCACCTTTAAATATACATTGGGGTATGTTTTGGCTAGAAAAAAGTTTTGTTCATTGGGGGTCTATGAGGACTAGGATATGCTTTTCTTAAATTTAGTTTTTTGAGGAATCTAGTTGGGGTGGGAGGCACATCACTCCTCTGCTTTGCTAATGATGCCATTTATATTTCTCCCACAACCATGTTCAAACTTATTTCCACAAAAATAACAGGAGTACTTGTGGCACCTTAGAGACTAGCATATGCATCCGAAGAAGTGGGTTGTAGCCCACGAAAGCTTATGCTCTAATAAATTTGTTAGTCTCTAAGGTGCCACAAGTACTCCTGTTATTTTTGCGGATACAGACTAACACGGCTGCTACTCTGAAACCTGTCATTATTTCCACAGTGCCCCAAACAAGGAACATCCTTTCTGAGAAGGTGTATAATGCCATTAACTTTTCTTTTTCAAATCCCACAAGATATATTTCTGCCATAACACCTACAAGAGAGACAAGGTGGGCGAGGTGATATCTTTTATTGGACCAGCTTCTGTTGGTGTGCGAGACAAGCTTTCAAGCTGCACAGAGCTGTTCTTCTGGTCTGGGAGAGATACTCAGAGCATCATAGCAAAATGCAAGGTGGAACAGATTGTTTAGTGTAAGTAGTTAGCACATATTGTAAGGGACCATTCAAGGTAGAGTGGTCTGTTAACATCTCTGCAGTTATAGGACAAAAAGGGGTGGTGGGTTCCAGATTGTTGCAATAAGCCATAAATCCAGTGTCTGTTCAGTCCATGATTTTTAGTGTCTACCAGAGTTATGAATTTAAGCTCCCAGGCTCATCTTTTGAAAGTGTTGTGCAGGTTTCCTTTGAGGATGAGGACTGATAGGTCAGATATAGAGTGATTGCTTTGTGAAAAGTATTCACCCACAGGTAGTAAGGTATTTTTGTCTTTTATTATTTTCCTGTATAAATTCATTTTAGAGTGCAGTGTTCACCCACATATGTGCTAACTACTTATGCTAAAAGAACAGGAGTACTTGTGGCACCTTAGAGACTAACAAATTTATTAGAGCATAAGCTTTCGTGGGCTACAACCCACTTCTTCGGATGCATATTGAGTGAAACATATCGAGGAGATATATATACACACATACAGAGAGCATGAACAGGTGGGAGTTGTCTTACCAACTCTGAGAAGCCAATTAAGTTAATTGTATATATATCTCCTCGATATGTTTCACTCAATATGCATCCGAAGAAGTGGGTTGTAGCCCACGAAAGCTTATGCTCTAATAAATTTGTTAGTCTCTAAGGTGCCACAAGTACTCCTGTTCTTTTTGCGGATACAGACTAACACGGCTGCTACTCTGAAACCTGTACTTATGCTAAATAATCTGTTCCACTTTGCATTTAGCTGTGACACTCTGAATACCTTTCCCAGACCTGAAGAAGAGCTCTGTGTGGCTGGAAAGCTTGTTTCTCTCACCAACAGATGATGGTCCAATAAAAGATATTACCTCCTCCACCTCGTCTCTCTAATATCCTGGGACCCACACAGCTACAACTACACTCCATGTAACATCTACAAGAAATTAGTGTGCTCATTCTTTTTATTTATACCAAAAGAAGACTTGTAACTACTATAGCAAGATGAAACATAAGAATGGCCACACTGGGTCAGACTAAAGGTCCATCTAGCCTGGTATCCTCTCTTCTGATAGGGGTGCAGCCTGGGGCCCTGGCTCAAGGGGGCTCCCGCAAAAATAAATCACAGGCAGTGATCTCCTGTGCTCAGGCTGCCTGCCGTGGCCCCATGCTGCTCCCAGAAGCGTCTGGCTGCTGGCAAGTCTCAGCGGCCCCTGAGGGGGAGGGGGAGGAGGCTCCGCGTGCTGGCCCCGCCCCCAGCACCATCCCCACAATGAGCGGCGCTACGGGAGCGGCACTTGTGGGTGCGGGCTGCGCTTGGAGACACACTGTCCCCCTCCCCCCAGGGGCATGCCGAGACGTGTCAGCACCTGGCCGCTTCCGGCGGCGTAGGGCTATGGCAGGCAGGCAGGTAATCTGCCTAAGCCCTGCTGCGCCACCGGCCGGGAGCCGCATGTGGTAAGCGCATCCCGGCCAGGGCCTACACCTCGTGCCCCCCCCACCCCGTACCTCAACACCCTGCCCCAGGTCAGAATCCCCTCCTGCGCTCAAACTCCCTCCCAGACCCCGCACCCTCTCCTGCACCCCTGCCCCACCCTGGACCCCCCCCCAGCGCCCGGACCCCCTCCCCGACCCCAATCCCCTGCTCCAGGTCAGAATCCCTCTCCTGCACCCCAACACTCTTCAGCAGCCCGGAGCTCCCTTTTGCACCCAAACTTCCTCACAGACCCTGCACCCCAATACCCTGCCCCAACCTGAAGCCCCCTTCTGTACCAAACTTCCTCCCAGAGCCCACACCCTCACCCTCTCCTGCCCCCCAACACCCTGCACCAGCCCTGAACCCCCTTCTGCACCAAACTCCCTCCCAAACCCCGCATCCTCTCCTGCACCCCAGCCCCCTCCTGCACCTAGCTCCCTCCCAGTAAAAAGACTGGTATACAGGCCCCACAAAATCTAATAGCCCCGGGTCCACAGGAGAGTTAATCCGGCCCTGCCCAGAGGAAATGAACAGAACAGGTAATCATCAAGTGATCCAGGTCTAGCCTTTGTTGAGTAACTGAGTAATCAAGTTGCTTTCCTGAGCTGTCCTTCACCCTCTGTTCCTCCCTACTGTTTTGTTATCTCTTCACTGTCTTATGTTCAGTTGGATTGCGAGCCCTTCAGAGCAGGAACCTGGTCTAGAATTTGTAATATGAGCTGCCTAATATGCTTGTGAGCACTGAATAATACAATGAATAATAGTAAGTACAAACTTCTATAGATAAAGCAGTGGTGGTTCATATGGACACTAGACAATCTTATTTTGATGGTCATTCATGCCTTACTAAAGGGATTGAATTCTGTGCCCGTTGCAGATATCGATATAAACTAGATGATCTCTATCCAATGATGAATGCACTGAAATTGCGTGCAGAATCCTACAATGAATGGGCTTCAAAAGTAAATGAAGCTTTGGAGGCAAAAATTAACAATAAAAGAAGTATGTATTTTCCTTATCTTGTATTTGCTACAGATGCTAAAAATTGTCAATTTCCAAAATGTTTCTTGTTCCACTGTTAATTTCTGAAACTCAACAACTTTGTCTTTGAAGCTTATTTATGTATCATATAAATAAATCTGTATATTTATATGCCTGCTAAACTCCGGGTTATGAGTTCAATCCTTCAGGGGGCCATTTAGGGATCCTGGGGCAAAAATCTGTCTGGGGATTGGTCCTGCTTTGAACAGGGGGTTGGACTAGATGACCTCCTGAGGTCCCTTCCAACCCTGATATTCTATGATTCTATGATTCCATCTCACAACTAACAGTGTGAGTCCCCAAAGAGAAGGTTGTCGGAGGTTGGGTTGTATGGGATGTTGTATATCTGAGAGTGCAGTTTTTTAAAATTTCTGTACCAGCTTCAGGGTTTTTTTTATTAGACATTGTTGCATACAATTATTGCACTGCAGTATTCTTCTCTATTACTTAAAATCAATCCTAAAAAGGACTATTTTTAATTAAAGAAAATATTCTCTTCTAAAAGGCCTCATCAATTTTAAGGCTTTGATAGAAGAATCAGAAATGAGAAAGTTTCCAGATAATGATCTACTGCGACACCTCCGATTAGTTACTCAGGATGCAGACAAATGTGCCTCAGTTGCACAGCAACTTCTTAATGGCAAAAGACAAACAAGGTATGTGTTGCACTTATTTCAAATTATTGAGGGGAAAATTTGGAAAAGGCACTTGTTTTATGGGTTTCCAAATTACGGCAACCCTTTTGGTCTCCTGAAAAGAGATCCTACTTTTGGGGTCTGGTACTTTCTGGCACATGATATGTCAAGTGTCCTGAACTTTGCAATTTCTAAAGGCCACCTGTTCTAATTTGAGGCAGCATTAAGTAAGTTATGTAAAATAGCACTCACCTTTCTCTTCCTGGTGATCCATTGCACTTTAAAATGTTTTTTTTTCCTGAGAAGAAAGTTGTTTGTTCTTCGAGTAGTGTCCCTATGGGTGCTCCACTGTAGGTGTGTCTGCGCCCCTGCGCTGCTGATCTGAGATCTTTGGTAGCCGTGTCTGTTGGGCCTGCACATGCATTGTCTCTCCTCATGCTGCACCTCAAGGCTAGCCATTGTACGTGGGCTATCCACCTTCCTGCCTTCTATCCCAAGCTTCACCAAGACAATAGGGAGGCCATACTACACACCTTAGATGTTAGGAGAGCTCCCTTTCATTCTATCTCGATAGGACAAAAACCTTTAGGAAGTCCCCTAGGCCAGGGGTGGCCAAACTGAGCCTGAGAAGGAGCCAGAATTTACCAATGTACATTGCCAAAGAGCCACAGTAATACATCATCAGTTCCCCTCCCACCCACTGGCAGCCCCGCCGATCAGCACCTCCCTCTTTCTCCCCCACCTCCCGATCAGCTGTTTCGTAGCCTGTAGGAGGCTCTGGTGGGGGAGGAGTGAGGGCACAGCAAACTTGGGAGGGGATTGGAAGGGGTGGAGTGGGGACAGGGCCTGTTGCAGAGCCATGGGTTGAGCAGTGAGCACCCCCTGGCACATTGGAAAGTTGGTGCCTGTAGCTCCAGCCCCGGAGTCGGTGCCTATACAAGGAGCTGCATATTAACTTCTGAAGAGCCACATGTGGCTCCAGAGCCACAGGTTGGCCACCCCTGCCCTAGACTTTCCTCTCTATGGCAGAAAGATCTAGGGGCTTAGTGATATCAGCCCAAAGGCTCTCTAAGTGGGTCTTGGTTTGCATCAGGCAGTGCTACCAAATTCATAACATGACTCCCCCAGACTCCATCCATACAGATTGCATGAGATGGATCTCCTCATCTGTCGCCTTCTTTAAGGACGTCCCCATCTCAGAGATCTGCAGAGCGGCATTGTGGGCATTAGTCCACACCTTCACAGAACATTATGCAATCACCGGGGACTCTGCCTCTGATGCCATCTTTGACACCACAGTACTATCACCTGTGACTAACCCGACTCTGAAGTCCCAGTCCTCCAAGAGTGGTACTGGTCAGAAGTCACCTATAGTGGAGCCCCCAGAGGGACACTACTTGAAGAAGAAGTTACTCACCTTGTGGAGTAACGATGGTTCTTTGAGATGTGTGTCCCTATAGTAACTGCTCCACTACCTGCCCTCCTCCCTTCTATTTCGGAGTTCTCGCTTATGACCCTGTGGTAGAAAAGAAACTGAGGATGATTAGCCCATGTGTGCTGGCTAGCCTCGTGGCGCAACACAAGGAGAGACCGTGCATGTGCGGGCCCAATGGACACTGCTACCGATCAGCAGCGCAGGGACAGAGACACACTTGCCGTGGAGTACCCATAGGGGGGCACATCTTGAAGAACCATTGTTATTGCACAGGGTGAGGAACTTCTTCAGATATTGATGGACAACAGTGTTGTTAGATGTTTGGCTGTGTGCGTGTTATTTCTACGTGCTGCACTGGCTCTGGCCACATAGCCCATACAGCAGGCTTCCATCGAACTGCCCAGTAAGACCACAAGACTTGGTTTAATAGTGAAGGCACCAGGTCAGTTTTACTTCCAATGAAGCACGGTGCTAATGCCCCGGTTCAGTGGTTACAGGTACACTAACAAATGTATGCCCATGACAATAGACCAACTCAGTGAACGGTGGGACTTTCCATTCCTCCCTAGGCCAGAGAGACACTCCCTTTGAGGCTTCATTTTATACATCAATACAAACAAATTACATATTGCCCCTCTGATGTGGTTAGTTACCTGCCCCCTGATGTGGGGTGTTACCACCCATTACCTTGTACATATTGATTCGATCAAAACATCTCTATCCATCACATTGTCATCCTGACCTTATATTTAGGATGGATCAGCGTGTTCCTGTTCTCTGTAGGGAATATGTTGGTATCAAGGTGTTCTGGTCCCACCCTTCTGGAATGTGTTTGCATGAGTGCTCTGTGCCTAGCACCTCTTAAGAATGTGTGGTTGGTTGGTTTTGTTTTTGTTTTTGTTTTTTTGTTTTTTTCAATATCAGCCCTATTCTTGCCAGATTCTGTGAGCAGAGCCTGCCTCTAGCTCACAGCCTGATTTTGCTTTGTATCAGCAAAGCTTTGACCACTACTTTAGCCCAGGCCTCAGATCAGGCCTCTGATACAAGGGCTTAAGTTTCAGGTCTTCTTTCTACTATACACAGCACCAACAGACCCTATCTAAACATACAAGATGAAGCTCACTCTCCTCTATTGTGCCTGAAGGCTGTGAAACCGTGGCAGTGGTGCATAAATCATTGTATTCACTCCACATGCCTACACCTAGTGGGTGTTCAAAATGTCCAAGCAGACTTCTTGGGCAGAAAATGACTGGAACAATATGACTGTTCCATGAAAACATCAGTTGTTCTCTACCTCTTCAGCAACTGGTGGATACTTGTGATGGACCTCTTGCCCACTAGGAAAAACAGCAAATATTACTCCCTGTCCTGGAATAAAAAAAGGTCTCTCTAAGATGCATTTCTCCTAGATTGGAGCAGTGTCTGTCTCTAAACATTTCCCCCAATAATTCTCAGCTCTTACGTGATTTAAAAGATCCAGAGAGGCAGGCAAGAGTACTGGTTACATCAGCGTTTCTAAGACAGCACTGGTATACTGACCTGCCAGAGCTCTCATGGGAACCACGTGTCACCATCCCATCTCAGGCACACAGTTGAATTCTTCTTCAAATAGTTTCCCTATGGGTGTGCCACTGTAGGTGTGCGTGTGCCCCCATGCTGCCAATCAGAGAATTTCAATAGCAGTTTGTCCCGCACATGTGGCTCCTCGCCCGCCAAGAGGCTGGTCAGCATGCAAGGGCATTTCCGTCTCAGTTCCTTCTCAACCTCCCCTACTAGAGACAAAGCTGAGAACTGTCCATTCACTGATAGTTAACTCCCCATAGTTTTGCAAATTTAGCTTCACTTGAAGCTTTTTTTTCTGTAAGTTCCTTGGGTTTTTTTTAGTTGGCCTTGCTGGGAAAAAAAGAAAAGAAGAAAGTGTTTGCCTCCTGCCAACTCTATTGGGGGAGGAGCGGGGACCCCCCTGGACAAAGTGTGGTTGGTGCCAGGAGCTTAAAATCCAGGTCCATGAAGGACAGAGAATTGAGGGGCTTAAACTCCTGCTCATGGACTTGGCCCTTCAATCCTCAGAGTCCAGCAAGAGCTATCACCACAACCTTCTACGTCAGAGGCAGGTGATTCCAAGGGGATGAGCCATCACTTGAGGTCTTTCCCTAACCTGGCACCGCTCTCCCTACTCCCGGCACCAGTCGGACCACTCCCGGCACCACTCACCCCGCCTTGGTCACTGAAGGGTGACGACTTCTCCCGCTTGGAGGCAGAATTCAGCCCCTCACCTGGACAGCAACATGATTGGGCTCCAGGGGGCGTGTCCGCGGCATTGGTGCTGGCCTGGCAGCAGGGCCAGTGGCCGACCCAATGACCTTATTGGAACACCTGGGGCATTCCCGTCACGCCGTTGCCCCACTCCCGCCAGCCCTCGGTCGCTCCATCGGACAGGCTGAAGTCAGCACCCACTGCACTGATGGCACCGGATTCGGTGCAGGATGCTGCGGTAGCCGCCACGGGTGAGGAGCCAGTACCCACCCCAAGGCCGCCCTTCCCAGTGGATGAAGACACCGCCGGACTTCCCTCAGTGGTCCAATCATCATCATCATCATCATGTGGGTCTCAAGGTAGAGGAGATGGAGGAGCAGGCAGACATTGTTTAATGTGCTCTTAGCGTCCATTCCAGTCCACATCGCACTCGTGAGGGGGTCCTGAAAACTGCCAGAACCATCCTGCCCGCCTCTAAGAGGGTGGGAACAAAGTACTGCGGAAGGGTTCGAGTATTTATACACCCATCTAAGTTCCCTATAAGCAGCCTATTTAGCGCCGTGCAGGTGCTTAGGGAACCCGCCCGGCCGGGACCTGCCAGGGGAGGGGCGGCCTTAACCCAGCCCCAGTCTGGACCGGCTGCAGCCGGGGTGCCCTTCCCCCAGCCCCAACTCAGCCCTGGACCTCCCTGGGGAGGGGCAGCCTGAACCTAGCCCCGGCCCAGACCTGCTGAGGGGGGGCGCCTATCCCATGGCCCCAGCCCTGGAGCTGCTGCAGCAAGGAGAGGTGCCTGTCCCCCACAGCCCAGGTGCTGCTGTGGGGAGAGAGAGCTGGGGGGACTCCTCTCTCACTGCCGTAGCCCAGGAGCACCCTCCTGCACCCCAAACCCCTCATCCCCCGCCCGCCCCCCCAGCCCGCGCCCCCCCCCCCCCGCCCCCCACCCCCAGCTTGCCCCCAGAGTCTGCACCCCCAGCTGGAGCTCTCACCCCCTGCACCCCAACCCTCTGCCCTAGCCCTGAGCCCCTCATTTCTGGTCCCACCCCAGAGCCCGCATCCCCAACCAGAGCCCTCACACCCCTGCACCCCTGCCCCAGCCATGAGCCCTCTCCCACACTCCAAACCCCTCGGCCCCACCCCCACCACATGAAATTTTGTTATGTGCACCAATATGAAGGTGATGCGGCCAACGAGAGGGATAAACAAGGGCCCACCAGTTCCATCCCTAAGAATAAGGAGGCCAAGAGGCTGGATTTGTTTGGTTGCAAGATTTATTCTATGGCCAGCCTCCAGTTTCGGGTGGGGAACACCAGGCTCTCTTGGGTCACTATAA